CACACACACACACACACACACACACACACACACACACACACACATATATATATATATATATATATATATATATATATATATATATATATATATATATATGTTGGTAATAGACCATAATTTTTACAATATTCTATAAATTCTACCGAATGTTTGGCGTTAATATGTTTGTAGTTCGTTTTTTCGATTTTTCTCACTAAAGTTTTTTGGTGAGTGTTTAGTTTATTTAGTTTATTAAAATTCAAAATAAACTTATTTTTCGAATTCATGCTGCAAATAAGGCCATATTTCGATTCCGAATGAATCAGTGCTCCTTGCTGTATATATAGGGAAATATTGACTTTGTCAAGATTAACTTTGACGTTGTAAAAATTAACTTTGGTGTTATAAAATTGAACTTTGATGCGAATTAGGTGTCAGGTTTCTTAATTGGCTGGTCATCTTCTTTGGTCTCCTTTTCTTCATCGATAGCATCATATTCTTCTTTGTCACTATTTACGATGCTAGTTTTTATTACTTCTTTGTTTTCGTTGTTGGTTAAGCGCCGGGTTGGAAGTGAGGTTGTCATTTTTTGTTGTATATTTATTTTGGTTTATTGATGTCGATTAGGACTGCTTCTGCAATTTTAAGATGCGTGTAGTTGCTGTTCTGGTATATTACTTTGGTGTTGCTGTCGAGGATTTCACGGCTAATTGTGATTGAGTGTGTTGAGTCCAAATGAGATTTGATAGCACCACTAAGTTTATGCATCGTAAGCCTTCTAGTCAGTGAGGTAGTAATCCCGATATATGAGTCATGTTGAGTCATATGCTGCAACATACCAGGTATCGCCTTCACATTCCTTACATACTTACTATGCTTTGCCCTTATCAATATATAATCTATCATTGACCTATGCTCCCCTAACCTATATGTAATTAATCGTGCTGGTTTACTTGTAAACCAGGTATTCCCCACCACCATGCTATGTGCATCCGCCAACTCCTACACTCTACGCCCTTTCTCATTCCGGATATCATATCCCCATCCCCCATGTATACCTTCATATCCGTCTGCATCCGCCCCCACATGACCATTCAAATCACCCAACACCTCAAACTCATCCAACCCCCGCTTGCTCACTCTCGTCAAAAACATCATCATAAAGCCTATCCTTCTCCTTTTCCTTCCTACTTTGTTGCGGAGCATATCCTGATATTACCCTCACTATTACCTTTCCAAACACCATCACCACCACAATTACACCATTGCTTTTCCGCCTCACTTCCAACACCTTCTCCACCAACTCTTCTCTTACCATCACACCAACTCCTCCCGTATCATCATATTTATATATAAAACACAACCAATATTATATAACATAATAAATAAATTGAAAATTGTAAAGGATTACCAAAAAAAAGCTTTTTCTCTATAAAATAAAAACAAATAGAAGAGTAGTTAAAAACCTTATTTTACCTATGTAAATAAATTAAAAAACAATAATAAAAATACTGTATAAAATATTAAACTGAACCTGAAACTAATCAAAGCTGAAAAATTTAGTGATATTTCTTAATAATATATATTGGTTTTGTGGATGGTTCTGTGTGAGAACCACTTCGTCATTATGACAAATACATGACATGAAACTAACATCCCATTTGTCTTCCAATGCCTGCTTTGTATAAGCTACTACAATCTTTTTATCAAACTTATTCCAATGTTCAATAATTCATGAACTAAAAAATCTTTCTTTTATTGCTCCTACTCCTTATTTAAAAATTTTGTATTTGGGACCTCTTGTGTTAGAGCCATCGGTAAAGATGAAAAATATGGATGAATCATCTTTGCGTGTTATAATCTTGTACATCTGAATTAAATCTTTTCAGATCCTGCGTTCATCCAACGTAGTCAATCCGCAGTTCTGCAATCTTTTTTCATATGGTTGTTTTTTGTAATTCTTTTCTATCATTTTTTTTGGTCATTTCCCCAGTAAGGACTTCGTGCTTGTATATATAGTAGCCTACTCTAGTTTAGGTCGTACCAAAGTCTTGTAAAAGTTTTGCATTTTTGATTCGTCCCTGTTGGTAACTGTCTTTTTATTACACCAAGCGTATTATTTGCCTTTTTGCCGCTTCCGGGTATTGTCTGGAAGGATCGCCACTTCTGCGTACAATTACTCTAAAATCCCTTTTTTCTGATAAAACTTTCAGGGGTCTCCCTCCAAACATTAGTAAATTTTCTTTGTTTTCAGTTCCCATATGCATCATAGAGCATTTGTCGACGTTGAACTTCATCTGTCAGTCTACCGCCCATTGATGAAGTCTTATTAGGTTCTCTTGGTTTTTTCACGTCTTCATCCTTATCTACTCTTGCACAGAGTTTAGTATCATCAGCAAATTTAACCGTCCTGGAAAAAATTATACTATCATATACCATGTAAACTGTTCCGTAATAATTTTAGAATCTTTGACAAAATAAATTTTATTCAATCGACAGGATTTGACTTTTTTGTAATACAGTTTTTTTTTAATATATTGTAATGTATTCTTATAGTGTTTAAAAAAGTTCAGAGTTGGATGTGAATTAGATGTTTATGTATATATAGGATTTATATATATATTAGGATTTTTATAATTTGTTTCTCATCTTAACACATCACCTCAAGACACAACAACATCAAATTACACAAACTCAGGATATATCACCGTTCACCTAGTTAGAACAGGAAATACCTCATAACCTAATAATCTTCGATACAATCGGTCCGTATAATGTTTGTGTGCGTACGTATGTACAGGGCCAGCCTTAGATGGTAGGAGGCCCTAGGCAAAGAAAATTTGGTGGTCCCAAGTGACATTTTTTAAAACCGGCAAATCAAAAACACTAAAATTCAACGAGGTTCAACAACAAAGTTTTAGAGAGGCCAAGCAGGCATTACAAGCGGCAACTAAGTTATAGTATGTTCAAGAGAAAGGTAGGTACCTTTCAACTTTTCACCGACGCTTCAGACGTTGCTGCCGAGGCGGTACTACAACAGAAAAGTCGCAAGATTGCAAGACCCATTGCTTTCTTTTATAAAAATTCAATCTAGCACAGACCCGCTACAGCACATTTGGTCGAGAACTGCTGGCAGCATATTAAGCTATCCGTCATTTTCAACATTTTCTCGAAGGTCGAGAGTTTACAATATTCACTGACCACAAACCATTGACTTTTGCCTTACATTCAAATTCAAATCGTCTAACACCAATAGAGATTTGATACCTTGATTACATCTCACAGTTACAACAGACATTCGACGAAATCGAAGAAACAAGCAACGAGAGTTCCCACTCCAATGGGAATCTTTCTATGATACAAGAACACAGGATTGATGCGGGCAATTCAACCTCATCCATCACGTTGCCAGCACACACGCGACGATCTGGTGACCATTTCATCAGGTTTCAAATTTATGAAATAAAATGCAAGGTGATTCGACCTGTTTTATTAATATTATTGCACTGGTACGCAACACGCCTCACCACACCACGCACGTTCTCACGCTAGCCTCTGTGCCGAGAAAACAAATTTTTAACAAAATGTAATGGTGGGAGAGTATTGTCGGATTAAAAAAACTAACAATCTTCAATAATAAATAAAAACACCACGAGCTAACGAAGTGTTTTGTGCGGGCTAGATAAGAAACTGCGATAACAATTATGAAAGGTATTCGGGCTGCTGATGTGTATCCGGCAGGGACAAAACACATGTCCAGCCTATTCAAACGAATACTATTCAGTCAATCAATCAATCGATCGATAGACTGATCGATCAATCAATCAAACAATTAATTAATTAATTAATTTCGATGAATTAATTTTATATACCAAACTGTTTTATTGATTGATTGATTGAGTGAGTGATCTTCAGTTGCCAGCTGAAACCCAAAAATTTTCTGTAGCACTCCATTTAAAATGCAGAGTAGACATCGCACGAGTTATTATTATTTTAAATTTTGTTTTGAAAGATCTACCACAATAGAATTTTAAATTAGAATTGCATTATTGAAAAGAAAAAGAAAAACAATGACGTTACGCATCTTATAATTGTCCCAGGAAAACTCTAGCGGTTGATGGCTAACGGCGAAAAAATACGTGTAATGCGGTAATTGGTAATTGCTCTCAAGTCAACATTTAGGACAAACGATATATTTTCCTTTTTATTTTTATTTAAAATTTTTCAGTCTTCATTTTCTTTTGAAATCATTATTTTTGTTTTGTTACTTTGTTTTTGTCAATAAACAATCCATAATCTTTATTGACCTTATGTTTCATGAAGTTTTTGTAAAGCATCTGCACTGGAAGCCAGTAAATCAAGATAATTTTTTAGCAAATTTGAGGTCTTTATGATTCTGGTTGGCTCCAATATCAATTCCACTTGTGACACGTCAATAATATTTTCCTTTTCCTTTTTTATCAATAATGCTGCAAAAAGAAGTCGGCTTTCAATTATTTCTTTGGCCCAATATTCATGTTGTGCACCAATTTTAACAGCAATTTTTTAATCTTCATGAAGTTTTTTAAATACTTAGATTAGTTTTTCTGACACTCATATTCCAAAGTTTTTATATTTTTTATAGCTAGCCTAAACATAAATATTTGCTTGATTGTCTTTTTTTAAATAGACCTGCATGGCTTTACTCAAATTTTTCTTTATTTTTTCAGTCGTTCTTTCAAAACAATTTTTTGAACTCAACAACACATTGAAATATATTAAAAACAAAATTTAATGATAAGCCACCTAATATCATGTTTACCCTATTCTTACTCTATTATTTTAATTTTTATTATCCTTATTCATATGTATAGAATGTATAGAATATAGAATACATGTATATATTCTATACATATATTCTTAGTATATGTGCTTGCCGGTATGTCCGATGTTTTATTATTCCGCTTCCAGCATCATTTAAATTGTTAAATCGCGGGTACCTTGTCTAACGTTTGTTGTTCGTTTGAATTGAAGTGCCAGCCGACAAAACGATATATTTGTTAGTTTAGTTATCGAAATCAATCAAGACTACTTTTTATTTTTACCAACTTTGTTCAACAACAGTACGTGAGTAATAAGTTTTTCAAATTTTTGAAATAATTGTTGCATTGGGTTGCTATTCCATTCAAAATTCAGTTTCAGGTTCATGAAAGTTTGATGATTCAAATTTTCAAATTCATGAATAATATAATATTGTAAATTATATTATTGAATTAATATTCATTTGAGTTACAACATAATAAATAAATAAATAAGTAAATTATAATAAATTATTTATTTTATTAATAATGGAACACTTTATTCATGTTGTATCTAAAATTAAAATAAAAAAAAAATAAACAAACTTTCTATTAGCAATTCAATAAGCTATTACTGCCTTATTCTTTTTACATGATTTTATTTCTTATACAATAAGACTTATAGTATAGTTATAATAAAACAGGGCTATCATAATTTTTCGACTTTGTCTTTGTTGTTTGTTCTCATTTCATTTTTAGAAGGTGTACCATTGGTTTCAGATTATATCACAACATTTTTGGCTTTGGGATAAGCATAAGAATAGATAGTTGCTATTCATATTCATTTTAAAACAATTGTGCAGTATGCTATTATAAACCAGGGCATCGAACCGGAACTGAACCTTAACTGAGAGCCGTTAAAAATCGATGTTTTGCTCGGAACAAAACCGTAACCGAACTGAAATATTGTTTGCTAGTTTACCCGAAAACCGTAACGAAATAAATAATGGTTCAATGCTAAAAATTTAAAAGAAAATATTTTTGTCAAATTTCAAAAAAAAATATTTAAATAATATTTCGTCTTTTGAATTCTATGTTAATTTTTATTTATTATCTTTGAAAATTTGTTATCTCTCTTTTTGTTTTTTTTTCGACTGAGTTCGCCAATAATTTGAGTAAGAATTGCCATGTGAAGAGAAATCCAATATAATTGGAGAAATTAAAGATCAGGTGCAATTATCTTCAAAATTTTGATGTGCAAGCTACACATGTGAGCCTGGAAACATCTGTTTTTAGATTTAAATTTATCCTCAGAGGCTGCAGAAGTGGTTTAAGTAAAAACATTTTAGAAGATATATTAATAATCAGAGAAAATTTTCATCTTTTTTGAAACAATCTTATATTTATATGAGTGATTTCAAAATATCTTTGTAATGATTGTTTTTATTTGTTGAAAAAAAGTATTAGAAACGTTTTCTTTTATACTGACAACATTTTTGTTATTAATTTCTTATTATTCACAATCTAAAATTTAATTCAAATTGACATTGTGGTGATAGTTGAATGTCCGTTACATGCATTTAAGGAACTATGCTTAAAAAAATTAAGTTTTGGAGTGAAACCGAAAACAAAAAAAAAACTATATTATTTCAGGAACGAAAATCGGAACCGAAATTCATTTGGCTGATTGAACCAAAACCGTAAATCAAAACGAAAAAATTACTGTTTGATGCCCTGTTATAAACTCTTCGTAATCATTACTGTATGAATATTATTAATATTATTGCATTACTTTGCACTAATTATTTTGTTAAATTTTTGTCATTTTTGTATCATTATGTCGTAGTCCATTCTGGATAGCTAATTTTATTTTATATTCATATATTATTTAAAATGTATATATATATATTATTATTATTATTATTATTATTATTATTATTATTATTATTATTAATGAAACATTTATAAGTGCTAATTAAAATCAAAAAGTTCTCAAAAGCGCTATCTATAATCAAACAAAGTCAAAAAAGAAAAAAGTACAGTCAATGGCGGTAGTAACAAACAAATAATTATTCACTTAACAACAAAATCAAAGCGAAAATAAGTAAGTTTTAAGTTTCTTTTTAAAATCATCAAGTTTCAAATCTTTAGTTCTAAAAGATCTCGGTAAGCTTTTCCAAACCATTGATCCAGATACTGCAAAATCTCTTGATGCTATCTGCAGATTGACATGAGGTACAACCAGCAAAATGCCATCATCTGATATAAGGTTCATACCACTCATCATTATAGACTTTTCTTTTATTTTATCTATCAAATAACTTGGTAACAAGCCATGCACAGTTTTATACATTAAAATACATATTTTATATTTAATTCTTTTCTTTATAGTAAGCAAATGAAGGCTCTTAAGAATTGGAGTAACATGGTTAAATTTGAGACCTCCAACAATCAATTTGGCTGCTATATTCTGAATAGATTGAATTGCAGAAATAGACCTATCTGGCAAACCGTAAAACAGACCATTGCAATAGTCCAATCGTGAATGAACCAATGCATGCACCAAGGTATGAATAGCAGATTTATCTAATGACTTACGGAGTTTATAGAGTTCTCGAATCTGTCCAGAGCAAGAATTTGTTATCATCTTTATATGATCACGCATCGATAATCTAGAATCAAGAATGAAACCCAGATTAGTTGCTTTGTCACTAAATTCAATTTGAACATCTCCTATTTTCACTGAATCAATATTAAGTTTCATCAGCTGCTGCCATGTACCTATTGAAACAAATTTTGACTTCTGCTGATTTATTTTAAGACCATTGTTTGACATCCAATTATCTATGTTATTTAGGCAGGTTACAAGTTTGTTGATTTCAGATTGCAGTAATTCTGGCTTATTACTAACTATAATCTGAATATCATCAGCATAGGCATGATATTTAAAACCGAAATTACCAATTACTTTAAAAACTTCAGCAGTATACATGATAAAAAAAATAGGCCCAAGCACTGAACCTTGTGGCACTCCTGATGTCAAAACCGTTTTATTAGATAACACATTATTGAAGACTACTTGTTGCTTTCTGTCAAACAGATATCATCTGAACCACTTGATAACAGTACCGGAAATACCATAATCATGAACCAATTTTTCCAAGAGAATCTGATGGTCTACACATTCAAATGCCGCACTTAATCTAAAAACGCGACTAGAGCCACATGTTGTTTGTCCAAAGCAGCAAACAACTCAGAAAACACATAAAGCAGTGCAGTTTCCGTTGAATGATAGCGGCGATATCCAGACTGGTGAACTGGTAGCAGGTTGTTTACATTCAAATGATTCAAGAGCTGTTTGGCAACCACTCGTTCAAATATCTTGGAAATGAAACGGATGTTGGAAATTGGTCTATAACTAGACAAATCATTTCGATCCATATTCACTTTTTTTAATACTGGATAAACCATAGCATGCTTACAACCATTAGAAAATGTGCCACTGCTCAGACTCAGATTTAAGATGCTGGTAAGAAAAACGATGAATAAATCAATATATTTCTTTAAAATATGGGTCGGAAAGACATCTATCATACATGTTTTTGATGGCAAACTGAGTACAATTTTTTTAACGTCAGATTCTGTTAAAAGCATAAAGTCAGGAAAAGAACAGTTCCCATTGTACTGAGCTTGACAAATAGTCGGACAATTACTCACATTGGTAGACTGTTTAATTTTATTTACTTTATCATTAAAAAACTTTAAGAATTGAGACGAATCTAAACCAACAATTTCACTCAATGACTGACCAGTGACCTGATTACAAAGGACTTTATTAATAACATTCCATAGATTTTTTGAAGATCCACTATTGTCTGCTACAAGTCTTTTCCAATAACTGTTTCTTTTTTGTGAAAAAAGCCTAGATTTATTTTTCAGAGCTGCTATCCACTCATTTTTACATTTCTCTGTCTGATATTTTCTGTAATTCCTTTCTTTCGACAAAGTCTTTTGAAAGATTTACATTCACCATCATACCACGGAGCATTAACATCACATCTGACTTCTACAAAACGAAGTGGAGCAACTGCATCAGCCAATTTCTTGAGTTCAGAACTCATCATATCAAACTCAATATTAATATTATTGCTTTGGCAAGACCTTGATAATGGAGAAGTCTGCATATATTTAATGAGATTGCTTTCATTTAGGTATTTCCAGGATCTAACTTGTTTCTTGACTATTTTAGGACGCTTATGAGTTAATGGTATGTTAACCTGAATTAAACTATAGTCTGAAAAAGTCTCACTGGGAAAAATCTTAATATCTGAAAATCTTGAAAATATATATATATATATATATATTTATTTAATTATTTATTTAAAATACATGGTAGGGTAGGTTCAATATTAATTTTTTTCTTTTAATTCTACTCTGTTGTGTTTTTCAACATAAGTACATTTTGATGTTCATGCCATTGTTTACATATTTTTTTTCATTCTGGCTCCTTGTCTTTTAATGTTGCATTGCCTTTCTCTATTAACTTAATTTGAATTAAAGTGGTGTGCAAGTTTACACAAAATTGGTGTACAACTATATACAAATTGTATTGTATTGATTATATATTTATATTTTAATCAATCAATCAATCTTCGTTTAGCGTCCAGAAACCCAGTTCCCTGAGCTAGGATGTTGTTGTCTGCCATAAATTTTTTGCGCCAAATTAGACGATTCATTTCAGTTGTATCCATTTCATTTAAATTTAAAGCTTTCATGTCTTGCTGGATTGTTTGCAACCAGGACTTCTTTGGACGGCCTTTGGGACGTGTGCCAGGTACTTCAACATCTGCAAGAGAAGTTATGGCACTGTTTCCACTTAGTTTAACATGACCAAACCACCCCAGACGGTGTTGCCTGCATTCGTCCTTTATATCATCTAAACCAGCATGACGCAGGATTTTGGTAGATTTGATGTGGTCCTTTAGACTAATTCGTTGCATCCATCGGAGCATTTTCATGTCGGTTCGTTGAAGTTGTTGTTCCAGTTTGGTTGTTATTGGCCATGTTTCTGTACCATAAAAACACGCATCAATATAGAGGCCATTTATTCCAGGCTGCACGTATGCGTGCTCGATCGGCAGCATAAGCTGTTCCAGTAAAATCCAGAACATCCCCTAGATGTTGATACGATGTGACTTTCTCTACCTTAATGGCTTCAAAAACATTGCTATTTCGAATTTGTTGTTTTGGATTGATAAAAGCAGGACAAACAAAATTGGACACTTTATATAAAGTCCCGATTATTTTTAAACAACGTTTGTGACACCACTGGTTACACTGCTAACACTTGATTGAATTGTTACCTACACCAGCTTTACAAACTGAACAGGGCCATCGTCCAATAGCTGTGGATTGGATGGGTTCACCAGTGTTCATTACTTTGATTTTGCAGATGTTGACTTTGAATCCATGATCGGCGAGTCTGGTGTTCCAATCTTCAAACATCTGTGCTGCATTCTGCTCAGACGTGGAAAATTTTATGGTCATCAACAGACTTTGATTTTTGCCATTGCTTGTATGCAGCTTTCTTTTCAGCTATTGCATTTTGTAAACTGTCAATCCACCACAAAGTGTCCCGTTCATGCTGACGTTTGGTACCAGCTTTCCCACAAACTGTAGTTGCAGCGTTTATCAAAACGGTTTTGTATGTACTCCAATCTGTACTGGCTTGCGATTGGCGGTCTAACTGTGTGGCGACAATCTGTTGGAATTTTATCGATGAATATTGCTTTTTAGCTTCCACGTTTTGATTCTCCGAGGCATTTGTTTAGACTTATGCTGTGATAGTTTGACAACCAGGTCTGCCACAAGGAGTCTATGTTGGGCGACACGTGATTTGCCTACCTCGGGGAACCGGATTTCTGGACGCAAAACGAAGATTGATTGATTGATATAAATTATAAATATTCAAGTAAATAATCTAATATTTTATTTTAATATATAGGCTTAAAATTAAAATCTGTTTCAACTTATATAAAATATATAAATAATAATAATTCTAAATTTTATCTGTCAAAACTTTCCATGAAGGTGATGGAAAGAATTTAGGAGCAAAGAATTAAAGAACAGGTTATTATTGACAAATAGAGTACTATTGATCCAGTTTTTATTGCTATACAAATTCCAGAAAAGTTCAGTGCCGAGAAGAAAACTTTTTATTATGCTTTTGTGGAGCTGGAAAAAGCTTATAAATAGGTTCCAAGAGAAGTGATTAATTAGGCGGGGTAAAAGAATGGTTGATGGACATAGTAATGTGCATGTATAAAAGAGCCATGACGATGGCAAGGATTAACGATTTTGTAGATAAGTGGTTTGATGTTCAGGTGGGTTCACATCAGGGTTTGGCGTTAAGTCTTCTACTTTGTGATCATTTGTTGGTTGGGTTAATTAAAGGCTTGATTTGCTATTTGGTAGAGTGACCAAATTTGTTCGCCTTTGCTTCCAGTCAGCCATACCTTGCATTGATTTGCACGAGCTATCGCAACCTGACATTTCGCTTCTGTGTTTTTTGATCGGTATGTCTTTCGATCTTCATCCGTCACCGTGTTATGCTATTGTTTGAAAGCTGCTTTCTTACTGGCAATAGCATTTTGCACCGTCTCGTTCCACCGCCAAGTTTCGCGGTTGGGCTGGCGTTTTGGTCCAAATTTTTCACATACAGCTGTTGCAGCATTCACTAGGGTGTCCTGAAAAGATTTTCAGGTTATGTCTACCTTCTCCAGACGATCCAGCTGTGTCGTTACCAACTCCTTGAATTTTTCCCTGAACATGAGGTTCTTCAGTTTCTATATCTTTATTCTAGTAGGCATTCGATCAGTCACAGGGCGTGATCGTTCCATCATCATATCGGCCACTAGCAATCGATGTTGAGGATGCATGCTTTGCCTGGAATGACTTTTGTTTTCCTGAATAGTCGTCTATGTTGTTGTCTGACGACAATAAAGTAAATTTGTGTGCATGACATCCCGCTTTTATATGTGTTCAAATGTTCTACCCTCTTCTTGAAGTAGGTGTTCAACAGGGAAATTTCAGGGCTTTCAGCAAATTCCAGAATCCATACACCATCTTCGTTTTGAAACCTGTAGCCAAAGCCTTCATGGACACCGTGGAACCCATTTGCTTTATCTCCAGCATGGTTGTTGAGGTCGCCACATATTAATGGTATCTCTGATGATGGTGTTTTTCTGACGGTATCTGAGAGTGAGGAGCATATGCAGAGAATACAGTCAGAACCTGTTTTCCCATTCTGAGTTTAATCAGCATTAGGCGTGAGCTGATTCGAGCCACCTCCAGTACATTTTGTGCCTGTGATTCCGTATGAAAATTTGCACTCCATGTTGGGCTGTCTTTTGGCCATTCCAGAACACCAACTTGTAACTCCCAATGAGAGAGACACCATTTGATTTCCATCTTGTTTCCTGTAAAGAAAAGATGTCAACCTTTTGCCTTTCCAGCATGTCGACGATCTCCATGGAGCGTCCAGTAAGCGATCCAGTATTTAAAGTGCAAGTTTGATATTTCAGGAGGGAACGCCCGATTTTCTGCAAAATCCACCCACTTTTGCATACTTCTTGGATATTGTCACCCCTTAACCATTTAAGGTCTTCTAGGGAATAGGGGATTTTTTTTATTGTGATGACATGGAAGATGTATGAATCAAAAAATTTTTGTATCTAAAATTGACAATTACTATCGACAACCACCAGTTATGAGCAGTAGGCCTAGCCTTTTTGCTGTAATCACAGAAGGCAGCGTGCTTGCATTTTAGCTCGTGCCCAAGAGAGCACTGTTGTAAGCAGTGCACTTAGCCTTTAGGTTAAAGGTCCCTGTTCCACAAGGCAGTGGATTTAGAATAGAAGATCATCCGCTGTTGAAGCCGTTGTCCTAGGATCCTCCGCCGCTTTCACCTTAGGACTTTCCCTTATTCACCACCTGAGGACGTGCCTCATAGCCAATGCACTCCAGCATAAGGAACGCACATATATGAGTATATATAAAATATAAACAACAGTTGATAGCATATTACATTGAAAATGGTAAAGGATTTCCGACAAAAAACCTTTTCTGTATAAGATAAAAATGAATAAAAAAAGTAGTTGAAAACTTTCTTTTCTTTTCTTATGCAACAATAAGTTAAAAAAACAATGATAAAAACACGATTCGAAATATTGAAAAATTAAACCAGAAACTGATCAAAGTTAAAAATGCTGCGATGTTTCTCAACAATTATATATATATATATATATATATATTCATATATATATATATGAATACATACATATATATATATATATGAATATACATATATATATATACATATGAATATATATATATATATATATATATATATATATATATATATATATATATATATATATATTCATATTCATATTCATTTATCTATTTATTTATATTACAAGTGTTCTAACTCCTTATGAAATTATTGCAGAGACTCTTGATGGTTGTTAAAATAAAATGCCTTCAATGTCTAACAGTGAAAATGAACTAACTATTGATGGTATTAGAGATGTGTGGCAGCATAATTTGGAAGAAGAATTCAAGACATTACGAAAAATAATTTATGATTTTCCTTTCATTGCCATGGTTGGTTCTTTCTGTTTGCAACGCTATTTTTAACTTTAAGATGTTAGATAAGATTAATAAAAAGTCATCAAACAATCCAGCTTGTTTTAAAAAGTAGTTGTGACTATATACTGTTTTAAAGTCTTATTACAGAAATTGCCTTGTCATAACGTTTGTAGTATGTGCTTTGCAGGAAGCAAGAGCAACGATGGGGTCAAATTTACTTTACATTTTGTACAAGGAGTCACCAATAAGCATTTGAACAATGTTTTCATGGTGACTCGCAAATGCTGAAACTAGAATAAAATGACGCAAACCCAGTCAGAGTTCTGGGTGAATTCAATTTTTATATATTTTATTCTATTGATTGTAGGTTATATTCTAGAATAAAAAAACGTCGCCAACAGTAAATTCAAAATTTCCACAAAATTAAAACTTCTAGAGTGTTACGTTTTAGCTGTTCTCACTTACAGCTCAGTGTTTTGAATGATCTCTATTTCTAAAGAAATGGAAAAAAGAGTGGATAGTTTTTGAGATGATTCATGAACAAACACGATTTGGCAATGGAAAGAAAAAACTGCTTTTGATAACAAATATCAGACGATGACAATTAAAGTTTCTTGGTCGCATTAAGAGAGGAAGGAATAGAAAATTCAACAATAATTAAAAAGATGCCAGTTACTTAACGATTTGTTACTGCTCGGGATTTATGAAGGTGTTTGGTCGCCAAAGTCCAGAAAAAATAAAGAGCAAAGGAAGAGGAAAATTTTATTTTTGTATTGGTAATTTATATAAAAACCAATCCTATCAATCAGCTCATTTAAATAACTTAATTTTTAAATTTTAATTTTATAAACTATTTGTAATTCAACCCTCTTTGCCCTTCCATCGTTTTTTCATCTGCTTGTGAACTCCTGTCAATGTTCAGTTTTCGAATTTAATGTGCCCACAACAACATTGTAATGGCTGAAACTTTCAAATTACTGCTACTTTATAATTTTCTACCATTATTTCAAAATGTTATCTCAATTTTTTTTCTGGCAATTTTATTACTGGACCATTTATTAAATGTCAGCTTTTGCGTGTAGCAGAGTGATTTTCATAGAATTTGTTGTATCAATCGCACATGACACAGAAATTTACAGTTAAAAATTTATCGTTGTGGTTTTTAATATAAAATTTGCGGTCGTTTGAAATGTTTCAAGTATTTAACATAACATAACTAGTTACAAATAATTTTTTGTTTAAGTGATTTGTTCAGTGATTTGTTAGAACAAATTGATTTGATAAATATTTTCGTAACTGAAAAGAATTTGTGACGAAGTATGATAATTTACATTGAACTATAGGACACAGAATTTCCTGGCGTGGTTTGGTCTCCACCTGATCCTTGCAAAGATAAAAGATCATACTACAACTACCAATCCATCAAATTCAATGTTGATCTCCTGAAAATTATTCAAATTGGATTTACACTCTCAGATCAATATGGCAACCTTGCTAAGCCTATTTCTACATGGCAGTTTAATTTCAAGTTCGACCTCAAGTTTGTGTGGTTTTTGAATTTTTATTTGAGACCTGTTTCTAAATCAACTTGAATTTTTTGTCAGTGTTTTCTTCTGTTTGTAAATTTAAACCAATCTTTAATCCTAAGACTTGAGCTTAGTATAAGATTAATCCAATGGTAAATGAAATTATTGTAATTTTTAGTGGCAATCACCATAATTTCAATTTAACTTAATTTGTGGATTAATTTGATTAAATTCTCACCTTTCGTAGTGCAGACCTCTACTCTGAGCCATCCATAGATCTCCTCATAAGATCTGGCATCCAGTTTGAGAAGCACCAGACGGACGGCATTGACACTCGTCACTTTGCTGAACTTCTTATATCATCAGGCCTGGTTTTGCTTGATGACGTCAGATGGGTAACATTCCACAGGTTAGCAAGTCTTCCTCGTGTTTCCTACTTCCGTTCAATTAATTAAAAGTGATGGCCAATCGATTCGATTAAAAATTTATTACAATCTAAAATGAAATTTAATTTTTTATTAAATTATTTCATATTTATAAGTTAAATATCATTATTTCAAATTAATATGGGTGGTTTTTAAAAATGTTCTGAAAGGAAATGGTTTGTGCCTTTCATGTTTTCGTGGAGGCTATGCAGTCGTCTGGGTAATCTATTTTTTTGAATCTTGAAAAGACCTCTTCTGCTGACGTATTTGAAGTACTGTGTCAAATCGATGAATGCATTGAACAGGGGTATCTGTTGCTTTTGGGCCTTTACTTGAAGTTTGCGAAGGGAGAATGCCATATCTGTAGTCAATCTCTTAGATCTAGACTCACACTGAGTTTCAGGATACATGTAGGTATGCATGGTGTCCTGGTTATGACATTAAACTGACCCTCACTGCCTTGTAAGTGATGTTGGATCATCAAAGGCTAGGCCCACCGCTTATAACTGTGGTTGCGTAAGGAAGGGCGTCCTGCGTAAAAATTAGCCAAATAAATTACTTATGATGACAGAAGTGACAATGGCCCTCAGTATCCGGCAGAATGGCGTCGAGGGGTATTTCGGTTTCATCATAGGTAGCCAAACGGCAACCCCAGATCTCGGGGAAAATGTCGTCTAAACGTGTGTTGTTTTGTTGTATGTAGGTATGCATGGTGCACGAGCGAATATCTTTTCAACGATGCGGAGTAGAAAGATGCTTCTGCGATTGTTGTGATCGCTTTGATCTTTTTTGTTTTTGAACGGAATTATAATGCTTGCAACATACAATTCCTGTGGTCCTGTGATATTGAAAATACCTTTGAAAATGCTATAAAAATACATGTGGCTGTTGTTGTTGTTGCCCCTTCACGACCACCTATCCATTGGTCAGGCGAAGCCTGAGCCAATCAGCAACCGCGGTTGGGTTTTGCCACAGGTCTATTGTCTTGAGATTCGTAGGATTGGCAGAACAGGAGAAGAGATGAGCCTCGTCGTCTACGTGCGTGTGACAGTGAGGACACATATTACCTGTACCGCCATCAATAATTTCCCTGAAACTACCTAAGATGATACTGTGGCCAGATCGGAGTTGGGCCAGAGTTCTTCTTATTGCCCGAGGCAGAGATTCCTCTGAGCTGTCTATTTGTGGTTGTGGAGGGGGCCATCCGTTAAGCAGGATCGGCGCGTGGTACGCCTCCGCAGCGGCCTTGGCAGCCATGCCATGTAAATTCCGAATAGCCATATTGATACTTGCACTATCCGAATTAGTGTGTAAGATGGATCTGACTGTGGCTCCCCATTTTGACATCAGAGTGTTTTTCATCACACGAGGGGGAAGTTTGGCTGACAACAATGTATGGCATGGATGTTGAGGGTCGAAACATTTTGTGATGAATTGTTTTGACAGTAGATCTGTATGCTGTTTTATTGACAGCAAACAGCACTCGGACAGCAGATGCTTCTCGGATGCGATTTTGTGACAGCCAGTGACGATTCTCAGTGCAGCATTCTGAGCGCGTTGAAGACGGCATAGATTGGATTCCGAAGATAGAGACGACCAGGCCGGGCAGGCATATTCCTTTGTTGATCTGCCTATGGTCTTGTAGACCTGTAAGAGGGTCTCTTTATCTTGGCCATAGGTGGTGCCGCTGATAGCTTTTAAAACATTATTCCGTTTTGTGGCCTTGGATGCTGACAATTTATGGTGTTGAGTGAAGGTCAGCATCGGGTCGAAAGTGAGGCCAAGAATTTTCGGGTTATGTTCTAGCGGTAGAACCTGCCCGTTTACCTTTACTTGGGGATGATAGTGGTATTGCGCTGTGTGAGGTGTGAACAAAGTTATAGAAGATTTAGAAGTGGATATTTCCAGGTCGCGGAGAAAGAAAAAGTTTATCAAGAGAGGGAGATAGTTGTTGAGTCGCTGTGTCAGAATACCCACATCCGGGCCGGTCGTATAGACGGAGAAGTCGTCCGCATATGATATTACCTTGATATCAGATGGTGGTTCAGGAATGCGTGAGACATAGTAATTGAACAACGCAGGGGACAGGACTGAACCTTGAGGAACTCCTGTATGGATGTTCCTCTGTTTAGACGACTGGTTTCGGAATTCCGTTACAGAAGACCGGCCGTGCAGGTAGTTTGACAACCAGCATGAAATGGAGCTAGGCAGCGAGGACTTCAAAAGGTCATAAATAAGAATTCTGTGGTTGACCATGTCAAAAGCCTTTGAGAGGTCCAAAGCTACCAGCGTGGTTCGATGTGCTGGTCTCTTCTGATTGAAACCATTGGCAACATCCATAGAAAGGAGAGAGACAGCAGTGGTAGTGGAGTGTCCTGAATGGAAACCATGTTGGTGACTGGCCGGGGACAGATGATCAGAAATAAATGGGAGGAGGCATCTCTCGAGAATCTTAACGGCAGGGCAGAGAAGTGAAATGGGTCTGTAGGATTTGGCGTCTTCATCAGACTTACTTGGCTTCAGAAGAGGGATGATCTGGGCCTTCTTATAGATGTCTGGGATACAGCAGGATCTGAGTGACTCGTTATGACTGAATCTGAATGACTCACATGTGGCTGTCGTTGGCAGCGCTTCTTCTTATATTATATGTACAGCATTTACATATGTACACTTTCAACACGAAGGTGGAAATGTATCAAACATTATTAGTAACCGATATTTTTGGCGTTTTTGGCTGACGTTGCCATCTACTTTTGTAACAAAACATGTGCATGAAAAGATTTGGCTATTATACGAATAACATACGTATTTATGTATCTGTAGACTAGACAGTGTAGGCTAATCTTTTTATTTCTGAAATTGTTTACTTGTGTTAAAACGTAACATTCCATTATTACTGATTGGTAAATGTGTATGTGTCAGCTGCGTTACTGTCTTGAAATTTTAAATTCATCGATAAATTATTTTCTTATATGAACTGCTTTTAACAACGTACCTCAAATTAACTGGCAGCGCATACGACTTTGGTTACTTGTTGAAGGTATTGACCTGTAAACCACTTCCTGATGACGCGGCAGAGTTCTACCAACTTTTGCGCCTATTTTTTGTACATTTCTACGATATAAAACATCTGATGCAGTCTTGCAATCTGTTTAGAGGTGGCTTGCAAGAACTTGCCGACCAATTAGAGGTTTTTTAAATTCATTTTTGCATAGCTAACTAGACATTTATATTCTTATAATTAAGTTAACCAGTCGTTTTTTATTTTTTTTTTATAAGATATATTTTCATTAAACCAGTGTTTCCCAACCTTTTTCAGTGTTGGCCTCCCTAAAAAAGTCCTAATGGTAACTTGGCCTCCCCAAATTCCGTCGTCAATAATTGAAAAAAAAATCAATTTGTTATAACAATTTTTATTCAGACAGATTTAATTAAAATTAGCATTGTTCATAATAATAAGGTTTATGTAAGGTTTTTTAATTTATTACATAAAATGTTATTGAAGCTTAATGCTTATTCTTCAATAAAATGCTGTTTTCCATCACAGAGAAGATGAAATCGAGGTTCTGTATTAGAAAGATATACCCTCATATCATTCGAGGCATCCAATCTATTTCTATCTTTAGTCTTGATAGATACTAATGTAGAAAACCCTTTTCACATAAGTAGGTGGTCGAAAATGGAATCAGAGCTGCCATGGCTTTTTTAAATAAATTTGGGTATATTTCTTTCAGACTGCACCAAAACTCTGCCAATCCTTTGGAATTGAATTCAGCTTTTACCAACTCTTTTGATCGAAGATCAATTAAATCTTCCGTTATTTCTTCTTCATCAGCAACACTATCCAAGTCAATAATGAACGGATTTCGTATCCAAAGATTATTTTCCAAATTTTTAGTATCAAAATAACGCTCAAATGATAGTTGAAGAGTTGTGATATGTTGTATAATTTCTTTTTTTATTTCAACAGGCATTGATTTGTTTCCACTGCTACTTATAACATCAGCTAGGTATGGTAAATTTGCAAGGTTTTCAGCTTCTACTCTTCTTTTGTACAATGAAAGCTTATTTAAAAATCCTACTAATTTTTCATTGGCGTCGATTATTGTCATTTCTGGTCCTTTCAAACAAAGATTAAATTCATTTAAGAGTGTGAACAGATCAGCTAAATATGCCATATTAACTATGAAATCAGTCTTCTCAAAGTCACCTGCTAACGTTTTTTCTTTTTCTTGCAAAAATGAAGACACCTCATCTTTCAGGTCCATTAGTCTTGAAAATACCTTTCCTTTGCTTAACCACCTGACTTTTGTGTAATATAGCAAGACATCGTATTCAGAATCAAGTTCTTGGCATAAAACTTTGAATAAACGATGGTTTACTGCTCTTGATCGTATAAAATTGACTATTTTGATCGCTGTAGACATGACAGACTGAAGCTTTGCTGGTAATGTCTTCACAGCTAGAGCATGGCGATGGAGCATGCAATGAGTTACAAGTGTCTGTGGAGAATTAACTTTGATTAAGGCAGCCAATCCAGATTTGTTACCCAACATACTTGGTGCTCCATCAGTACAGACTGAATGTAATTTTGTCAACCAACTAAATTCATTTCTTTCAAAGAAAGTTGTAATCATTTGAAAAACATCTGCAGCTTTACTAGTTGTCTGAAGTGGTTAGCAAAATAAAAATTCTTCTTTAATTTTAAAATTACATACATAACGAACATACACTAAAAGCTGGCAACACATTGATACATCTGTGGTTTCATCAAGTTGCATACCAAAATTAAAAGGACTACTTTTCAGTTCTGACATAACTTGGTCCAAGATATCATTTGAAAGATCTGCTATTCTGGAACAAATAACATTATTAGAAAGTGGAATTTCTTCAACCTGTTTTCTTTCTTTTTTTCCAAGAATTAACTCCACCATTTCAAGTGCACAGGGTTTTATTAAGGTTTCTCCAATTGTATGTGGTTTTTTTTTTTGGCAATCAAATAGGCAACTTTGTAAGAAGCCTCAAGAAGTGGTTTCTTTGGTTGAGCAAATCCAACATTTTTTAATGTTCCAGTGGCTTGAAATCTAGCTCGCTTCAGTTTGAAGGTGTCCAGGTTGTCGTTGACATTTCCAGGATGTTTGGTTTCTAAGTGGTGGCGTAACTTTGCTGGTCTCATTCTATCATTACAATATACTGCTCCGCATAAGAAACATTGTGGCTTTTCAGTGCCATCTTTTTCAGTAATAGTCGTGAATCCAAACGCAACGTAGGTTTCGCCATAGCAACGTTTTTTATAACGAGATTATTGAAAACTGAAAATGATAAAAAAACACATATTTTAAAAAGAACTGAAATAATTAAAAAACCACAAATATAAATTACCAGTTATGTTAGAAACAGCAGACCAAATTTTTTAGTTAATTTATTCAATTAATTGTCTTATTTTATTAATTTTATTGAAAAATAAATTCATGCAGGGTATCACAAAAAACGCGACAGAAAGAAAATGAGGGATTTATGAAAACAGAAATGTGCAAATCATTATTCAAATAAATACAATATGGAAAGCCGTTACGCAAAAACAATTTTCATATAGTATTCAAAAAATCGTTTTTAGCATGATTAAAATTTTGTGATTTAACAAAACTTTATAAAATTATATAAATTTATAAAATACATGTAAATAGAACACCTTAGTTGGTCTCCCCTAAAAGATCATTTGGCCTCCCCAAGGGAGGCCGGCCCCACTGGTTGGGAAACCCTGCATTAAACCTTGAATGAGCTGTCACCAAATAGAAAATATGTGTTGAAAAAATGAAGTGATTAAGAATTAAGACGTTAACTTTGATTTCAGGTGAAGAGGATTGGTCCTCAGCATCAGGCAGGCAGTGACAGTCGGTTGACTGGGGCGATATTTTTCAAAATGAAAGAGGTTAACAAAGTTTTTTTTCAAGCTCGTTAAATTCATCATTGATTATTATTAAAATTGAATTTAAATTTGTTTAATAATACTCTCCAGTTGCATTTTGAGAATTGTTTAGATGGCATAATGGAGGAAGGCCTACTCTTTGGTATTGAGAACGATAATGCCGTGGATCAAAAATAATAAAAATTCAAAACTTTGTTATCTGCCTATCTGCTAACTATCTGCTCATCGAACTCAATGAAAACTCGCCCAGGGATCATCTCTTTAACCTTTTGCTTACTTATTTTTATTGTATTTTGTGCTCTAAATTTTCACTTGTAGTATTTGTTTGCGACATTTAGTTGCTGTAGTTTATTCCGTTTCGGTTTGAAAGACAATTGCAAAATTGGAGAAAAAACAAAAACTATTAACAATTTGTAAACTTATCATAATGGGCAGCAGCTGCATTGCAGATAAAACTTGTCTATGTTTTGTCGCCCGACATCCATCATGATCGTTCGTTGATTTACATTTTATTGTTTAATTGTTAATATGGGATTTTATATAATTACCACAACAAATCAGGGCCACATTAAATGTTAACTGCTTTTATGATATTTATTATTATTTATTTTTGTACGAACTAAAATAAAAGTTGCATGAGTTTTTGTTTTCTTAGCGCCTGAAATCTGAATATTGTTATAACGTATTTTAAAAAACATGAAAGGCTCCTCTTTCTATTTTGACAGAAATGCACTAAAAAAGAGAAAATCGCTTTGAGTATATTTTGCTGGGTGGTTTTTGCTGTTTTTCGCTATTTCAATTTAATTTATTTGACAATAGGACACCCCCATAGCAGCAAAAAATACACAAAATGGTGCCTAGAACCGAAACAATACTTGAGAGATCAGCCCAATATGTGAAGTGAATGTCAAGGACTCTAAAAGTCTCGCAAGATAGACTTCACGACAGGGAGCATTTAGATGTAAACAAAATGTTAATTATATTACAAGCTATAGAATTGGTATCAAATAAATGCCGGCTACGCCGTTGGGTGAGTAACCATAGTCCCGGAGGCATGAGTGGTGGTTCAGTATTTAAATTCGTCCAGTGTTGAAACGTGCTTTCAGCACTATGAGAATTTTCAATTAAAATTTTATTAACAACGGCATCAGAATCTTTGAATAAAGTGACGTTTGTAAAACTTATTATTTTTCCACCAAAATAAGAAATTGAGTAACGAAAATGCTTCGATTTGGCTCGTCCTCGCCGTATAACACAAAACTGAACCCGCTTTCTGCAAAGTATGCTTTTTTACAATTTTTTTAATAACTATTTGAGGCGTTTAATAGTAATAAAACTATATTTTTATTTACAAAAGGTAACAATTAAGTTTTTTAATTTGAGAAAAGAATTTCAATTTAAGTAGAAAAGCTTTGCAAAAATAACGAATTGCATAATATTAATTTAACACGTTATATCTAAATGGTAAGCATGAAAATTAAGTTTTCTACGCAAAAAAAACTCAGAACTGACATACCATTTAGCAAAAAATGGTCAACAATGCTTAATAGAATATTAATTGGTCAGCAAAATAATTCATCAATAGTTATTCAAAAAATTTTCCATCAGTAAGCGAAATACGTAAAACTATAAAATATTTACCATATAACTTAGAATGCCAAATATATGGGGCAATCCAATATTTGTGTCACGCTTTTTACGCCATGTTTTAGCTCCTCCCTCCTCCCTGTCACATCCTGTCACACTCAGTTTACACCTCCCTCAATAATTATGTCACACCCGACCACCTATAATTTATTATTAATAGATTATGGATAACATCATGACCTAGGTACAAAGTTTTAAATCAGGACAAAAAAGTCTCGTAACGATCCAGTTCATGTTCGTGGCTAATTCTACAATTCGGTCCACACTGTTGCCAGATGTTGCTCCACTGTAGCCAATGAAATGTGTGTATCATTGCCAGCATTGTCTACATTTAATCCTGTACACAAAGAAATTATGTTTTATTTTCTGTACCTTAATATTAAAATTGAGCAGTAAACGTCTGAAACTTGAAAATTGTAAAAATTGAATAAATGTCTACATTATTAAAGTCTACGTTATTAAAACATTGGTGAAAATATCCGCCATTTAGTGATGGTCCACACACATCATCCAATATTGATAGGTCTCTCCACCAATGTCGAAAGAGCCCTACATTGATGATGCAGGTGACTTACAGGAACTTTTAGGTGGACGTGTCTTTCAAAGGGTGATATGGTCCATCATGGGACCACATTTTAATTTGAATAGTGAAGCATTTCCAGAATAAATACAATAAGATTCCATTAGACTGTTAGACCCATGAAAAGTCTATGTAAGATAGCAACAAAGTATACTATAAAGCAACAAAATATACTATAAACACTGAGTGATATGTACAGTCGCACAAGAATACCAGAAAAATTTACCAACTAAATCCAAAAATTCTTCATCAATCCATTCAGCATCTTCCATGTTGTTGTCGTAGGCTATTATTTTTTTTAATTATTATTCTTTAAAAATCAGGATCTGACAGACGCAGAAACTGTTACAGCATGCAGGGCAGTAGTACAAAATTAAACGAATAAGTAAATAAAAAAAAAGGAAAAAGAAACATGTTTAAACATGAAAAATAAAATAAATAATAATAATAAAATAAATAAATAAATAGACAATAAAATGAAGTAATGGCATAAAAACGCAAATTAATAGACTGGATGATGACTTAGTGAGTTAGGGAAGTGATCGATAAATAAAAACTTGTATGAATGATAAAGTTTTATTGAGTGTTAATATGTTTGAGGTGTTTTGTGATGAAAGTCTTCCTGATATGTGGATTGGGTGGTGACTTGATAGTTATGTTTGCGTTGTCGAAGTTTGTGTGTTGTAGTTTTAATTGGTGGTAGTATTATTGCTATCAAATCTCTCTGTTTCCTTGCTGCTAACCTGACCGGTCTTGTACGTTGTACGGTTTGTTCTATGCTCGGGTGTGAGCCTTCAGGCTGGCCAGTGAGGCATGATACTAACCACACTTCTTGCAGAATGAAAATGCATCCTTACACCTACAACTTGCTTTAGACCAAAATGTCAGCAGGTTGGCAGCATTCTTTCATTTCATATTGCCTAATTTACGCCGTTTCTTATGAACAAAGTCAGTCACATCATCTTTAACTTTCACACTACACCAAAACACATTTGTATCTGACTGTAGAGACTGCACTTTTATTTGGAAGAACCATCTTAAGTACCTTATACAAACGAAAATACAACGTTCGTTTATCAACCATTTTGTATATTTGTTTAAACTGCGTGCATAGAATATCTAAAATATCTAAAACTGAAATGTTAGCAGCATTGTTTTGCCTAAATATCGAACATTACCAGACCTGGAACATATCGGAACTTCGGCAGCAGCCTAAAGACAGTACACGTACATACGCATCAGGTTAACCCCTCCATCCCACTGTCACACACTGTTACGCTGGGCGAACTCCCTCCCCCCAGCGTGGCATTATTTTTGAATGGCCACTATAGCAATTATTGCACTAAACATAACATTTTTGCAAACGCGCAATTACTTTTTTAAAGCTTTCAACATAAATAATTAATAAAATTACCGAACAAAACTTAATTTAAAAAAAAATTTCTCTTTCTCTAAGAGATAAGATATTTCAGCAAAACAGAACCATCTGATCCACATACGATCATGTTATTATAATTATTAACGGGGTTTAAAATGGTTCAGAAGATTATGGTCTGTCTAAGAACCACTACTAATTAGATCTCCTAATATCCTATCTGTCCGAGTTTGGCTTTGAAGCTGTTGAGTGAATTCGCAGAGACTGCATCATCGCTTAGCTCGTTCCAGGCGTTGACCACTCTACAGCTGAAAAATCTGCTCTTTATTTTTCCATCCGAGTTTTTGAAAATCTTAAATCTGTGTCATCGTAGTTTATCACTGTTTACTAGTCTGAAAAATCTCGAGTATGGTGTTGTTTCCCTGTTCGTGATCAATTTATATGTTTGGATTAGATCTCATCTACATCTTCTTTTTTCTAATGATGTTAAGTCGCATTTTTTCAATCTCTCATCGTATTCCATTTTTTAGATTCCTCTAATCATTCTTGTGGCTCTACGTTGTACTTTTTCTAAAACTTCCTTATCTTTTTGCATATATGGGCTCCATGCTTGAACACAGTACTCCAGATGAGGTCTGACTAGGGTTTAATACAATTTCAGTATGATATGCTTCTCTCTGCTGACCATTGTTCTTTTTATAAATCCCAAGATCGTATTAGCTCTGGCCGCTGCAGCTGTACATTGTCTTGACGGTTTTGTGCTTTGATGAACAATGATTCCTAGATCCTTTTTTTTCCTCTGTCGATCGTAGTTCTCTTTCACCAATTTTATATGACTGCACATTTTTCAACGTTGAAAAGCATTTGCCAGTCCTTGGACCATTGGTACAGTCTTACTAGGTCTTTTTGCAATATTTCTGCATCTTCATCGTTGTTGACTTTCACACATAATTTGGTATCATCTGCAAACTTTGAAATCTTAGAGACTATTCCTTCGTCGATGTCGTTAATGTATATCACAAATAATAGCGGTCCCAATACCGATCCCTGAGGCACGCCACTTGTTACGTCTATCCACTTCGAGTTTATTCCTTTTATCCGCACCTGTTGTCTCCTATCTTTAAGCCAATTTTTTATTCATTGTAGCAGATTTCCTTCTACCCCACATGCCTGTAACTTTTTGGATAACCTTTTATGTGGCACCTTATCGAATGCTTTTGCAAAATCTAAATATATTACGTCTACCGAGTTATCCTGGTCTAGGTTAGCATAAACATCTTCAAAAAAATCCAAAAGGTTAGATAGACAGGATCGTCCTTTCATAAAACCATGTTGGCTGTCATTGATTATGCAGTTAGAATTTAAGTGCTCGACTATATTTCTCTTGATAATTTTTTCTAATACTTTACATATAATGCAAGTTAAACTAACTTGCATTATATGTATGTCTTTCTCATTTTTTAAGTTTTTATGGAACACGCTAATCTGCTGTTACCGGTCCTTTTCTTTGAAATCCTTAGCAGCATCAGCTTTTTTTTCGTCACTGGTGGTTCATAGTGTTTACGAAAACTTTCAAGTCACGATTTTATAACGAAATGTTCATGTCATTTGGTTTGGTCAAAATAAATATTTACCAAATTTTTGGTCGTTCTTATGTCAAAGCAGAGGCGTATTTACAAAAACTGTGGCCCTAGGCGCACGACCAATTTGGGGCCCTCTCGCCTATAAGGCGATCAATGATCATAATACAACAATAGTTAGAACACTCATACCCATGCATTTTTTAACATGCATAGATACTACAGCTATAGATACTAGTTAGAAATTATAATTGTCAGTTTATTACAGTTATATAACTTTTTTCCTGCTCTTCAATTTCGCGAAGGAGTCAATGTGCGCATTGAAATCGTATTCTAATGTCTCCTTTGATTCAATGCATAAAATAGACAAATCTCCCAGCTTACATTGGCTGATGGAATTCCGCAAGTAATTCTTGATCCTTTTCAACACAGAAAATGACCGTTCTCCAGTTGCGTTTGATATAGGAATGGTGAGAAAGATTCTTAGAAGGGTTTCCACATTGGGAAATGTACATTGTAGTCCACCCACCACTATAAGCTGGTACATCTCTACCGTAGATTTTTCTTCCTTAGCGAAATGCAAAAACTGTTTGATTTCATCGCCAGCGGTATCAGAATTAACATCGTCTTTGTATTCTTCGATCAAGGCCGAGATCTTTGTGTTCATGTCATCTACCTTGTCCTTGAAAAATAGACTGAACAAATCAGGTATACCTTTGTATGCTTCGATTCTGTGATCAAGTTCCGTGATCAATTTATCAGAAATGGCGTTTACTGTGTTAACAATAAAATTATCACGACCAGTTAAAATAACTTCCGCTTCATTGCTTTCGTCAGAAAACGGTTTTCGCTTTTTCTTGCGGCTCACTTCATCTTGATATTTACAGTCTTTCAGATCCTCGTTAATAAGCAATGCTGCTCGTTTTTCAATACGAGTGAAATCGTTTCGGACTTCATTGTTAATAAAAAGCTTCAGTGATTCTAGAAGATTTAAACCAGAATAAATTTGAATTTTGCAGAGATTTGCTGGTTGCATTCATCCGCTGTAAAATTGTATCCCAAAGAACAGTCATCAATGCAGTCACAAAAAGATCCATTTTATTAGCAAGAGCATTAGCCTCATTTCTTACAGACGCCTTCTGATCACGATCTTCGGCTGCTTGAAGAAGAACTTCCTGAATACCAATGTAGTTCTGATGCAATGCAAACACTGCATCCGCTCTAGCTGACCACCTTGTATCCGACACTTTCTTTATGGTGCATTCACTTTTGACTAGATGACTTTTAAGTATGTTCCACCTGTGTGTGGATGATGAGAACCACACATAAACGTTTTGAATAAAGTCAAAGTATGATACTGCTGAAAGCGACGATTCTGCAGCCGAATTACCAACTAGCTTTAAGCTATGGCTAGAGCAGGGAATGTAAACTGCATTGGGACTGTGTGCCTTAATTCGCGCCTGCAAGCCAGAGTATCTGCCAGACATGTTAGAAGCATTGTCGTAACTCTGTCTCCTGCATTTTGTGATATCTAACCCCCATTTCTTCAAAACGTCTAGTATCACTTGCTCCAGATTTTGAGCGTTATGAGCATAGATGTCAACAAAAGTTAAAAATCGTTCTTTAATTTCACCATCAATGAAAACATATCTGAGTATCACAGTTAACTGGTCCACATGGCTAACATCAGGTGTTAAATCAACAATCAAAGAAAAATATATCTATTTCTTTACTTCTGAAATAAACTGATCTCTGACAGCATTGCCCATTATTTCAATAAATTCGTCACAAGTAGCATGTGACAAATAACTAACAGAACCACTTCCCTTGTTACCGTACCGTGCAATATGATTTGCTAAGAAAGGGTCAAATTTTGACAAATAATTCAAGCAACTAGTAAAGTTGCCGTCATTGTTGTCATGACCACGAAAAGCCAAATCTTGAGAAGAAAGAAACTGTACAGTTGCTACAATCCTTCGTAGAACTTCTCTCCAGTATTGCCTTTCATCATCTGACTGTTTCGCCATTTGTTTGTCAATACGCCCGTTTGCGTTTAAGCGTTTAGCCAAAGTGCACATTGCTTGAACATGGCCATACGAATTTTCATGTTCAGAAATTTTTGCGGCAATATTTTTCCAATCTGAACACCCATTTGTTGAAAATTGACTAGCTTTATTTGGAAACAGTTTGCATACATAACAATAAACACTTCCACTAGTTTCACTGAACACTAACTATTCACGTCTTTCTTTTTGGCCATTCGCCTTGGTCAAGTAAAAGTTATGTTCAGACAAATGACGAAAATATTGTCTGCCACGATCTGTCATCAACATGCTAGCGTGTGAAAAGTCGCCAACATTTTTTGGTTTGAAATCCAAAACATAATTACGCATGGTTTCTGTCAAATTCGCTGGCCACATAGCAATATCTGTCAAAATTTCACTACAGTTGTTATCAACAGTTTCAAAACTCGCGACCTCTATAGAACCTTCAGCCGGCGGTTCAGATTCTGGCAATTCTGTTGGATAGGACTCAGAATCCATATTGGCTGTTGCCGAGACGATTGCATTTTGATTACCAGCTGTTATTTCTGTTTGAGTAGTTTCTGATGATGGGGTTACCGGTCGTTTCGCTAAAAATGTCAACAAGGCGCCTTCATTTTTTGCATCTTCTGCTTTTCTTTTCTTTTGAATATCACGTTTTTTTGCACCTGAGGGATATTGTCTCATAGACATTGTTTTAATTTAATGAAACGATTGTGTTGCAATCAGCAGCAGAAAGGAAAAATGATCATTCATCCACACAGTGAAATTATTAAAATAGTGTAATAAACTGGCAATTAACAATTAGTTATTGCAAAAAATTAAAATTTGAATTGAAATTTTTAATTGAAATCTGTGACGTAAGATGCGCCAATAGTGTTCGAATTTTACCACAATTCAAAAGTTTGTTTACATTTTTAATTTAGGGTTGAGCGAAAATTCGCGCGCGCATTTTTGGCAACGCATATATAGTTTTTTGTTTTTTTTTTTCATACGTTGTTCAAAAATATTTAGAAATAATAATGTAAAATTAATTTTTCTCAAACTTATTAAATTTTTTTGTGCGAAATATTTTGAAGCCTCCAAAAAACTCATTTTTCAAGTTTTGGGGGCCCATAAAATCTGGGGGCCCTAGGCGCGCGTCTAGTGCGCCTATGCCTAAATTCGCCACTCGATGGGTTTGTGTAAGTTTACAATTTTGTAGAAATTTCAAAAAATTATAGAATTAGTTATATCTTATTAGTTTTTGCCACGTAACTGCAATTTGAAGTTTTTATTATTTGAAATTTTTTCAATTATTTTGAATAAAGAATACATATAAATTTAATTATTTATTTGTAGTCAGTCAATAAATCCTTTTTGGACTAAACTAGAAAAGCACGCAAGAGAAGAAGCTAAAACTTATTTTTCAACAAATCAGCTCTTCAACCTTTTTGAGGTTTTTATATTGGTTTCTTATGTTTAACAAATAAGAATTTTTCGGTGCCGCGCTTTCAACCTTGTATGGCGCTTTAACCCGGTTCGAAAGACTCGTCGTGCATAAGTTCAAGATTTTGACCATGATGTGTGCTCTGGGTGCTCATATGACGTATGCACGAATACTGTTTCTGCTGCGGATCGATGGCATCATTATTAAGAATGTAAATTAATAAGAACAAATATGACAATAAAAAGAAGTTTCAAAGCAAGCAGCTGAATGGTAGAGAAAAAAAATAAATCGTTTAAAACATGAAATGAAAAATCTTATTGCTTCGAAATTATGAATTAAACAAATGTTAAATCATTGTTTGTGCTGTAAAAGTATCTGTGATAGTTGGATAGTTCGATAATTTTAATAAAATTAACGAAACTCGTATGATTGATAAAACACAACACAGTGTTTATTCGTTGGAATATTGTGGTGTAAACCCAGTGATCCAATCGTGTATCTGTTGGACTGTATGAAATTACTCAGGGAAATGGACCAAGCCCCCGTTCTCTGGAATACCTTTCTTGAAGTTGTTCACGTTTGTAAGTCACTTAACGCTACCAAATATTTACAACATTTTTTCGTAAATAAGCTAATTTATCATTAAATAAATAATATTGGGTTGGGACTGTCTTATTTGTGTATACAATTATTATTAAAGGTTACAGCATTTATATTTATAAACTAACTATTTTATGTTTATAATTTAATTACAAGATAAAATAAAGATAACAAGATTAATATTACAGTACTACAAAATAAGCATATTCTCGGCATTAATCACTCTTCAATGTAGTCATATAATTTAGCGCTTCTGTGTTCGCCTCTGTTGAATTTTTAGATATATGCAATGTTGCAGTTAATCATATATATGTTTCTTTGTTGGGAAAATGTTGGTGTTGTTCTGTCGGATGTTCATTGATGACTTATTTGTATAGATTAATATTTTTTTTATAAACTCAGGTATCTTTAACTTGAAATACTTTGTTATACTGCTTTGGTGTTATTTAAGATTTTTCTAGTTATAGAATTGTCGTGTTGTTCCATTAAGATTGAGTGGTCTTTACCGCACCATTTTGCCTTTGCATGGTGTACACCGAGGTTTTGAAATTATTATTGGTTGAATTTTTAGAAGTTGGGATATATAATTACAAATTAAATAATTGATTGACTGAAATGATGAAATTATAGCGTACGTTTTTTAACAGACAACTATTGCTCGGAAGAGGAGGAAGAAGATGAAGTTGAAAAGGAAACGTATATCGAAACTACGGAAACACACGAGAAACATGTTCTTATTGATATAAATGCTGTCTAGAAAATCTTATATTCCTTTGATTTTTCAACTATTAATAAATAAAAAAAATGTACATACTTAAGGAAGGTAAAGTTTACTTTTTTTAAAAATAAATTATGATAAGCGTACAAAACAGTGTTTATAAACCGTCGTAGCAAGCGCAAACGTACACTTGAAATACCTGTGTACGCGCTATAAGCGTTTGTTGCATTCTTGACCTATACAACTTATACTGTTCGTATATCGTATATAATAAGAATGTGCATGCACGTGTACTATACTGCCTGTATGCATGTACTGTACATATATGCCTAGTTCTGAGCGCCAGAGATATTTTTGTTGTGGTATCGATGTCCGGAAATATTTATACAGCTGAAGTTCAGATGGATACTCAAAATTGTGAAATGCGTGTTCATATCTCGAAATGATAATATAAAATTTTGAATTGTTCATAAAATAAGAAAAACATTATTCAATGACAATATTTTTAGCTGCAAAATATTATTGAAAATCAAATCATGAATGATATTGTGGCTGCATCTACTTAAAGCTGTTTTCAGCTTCAGACCTCAACAAGCGTCAACATACAGGCAAAATCTTCAATGACGCTATTCACTGGTCTAAAAAATACACCGGACATTACAAAATTAACCAAAGTTATAACTCAGTTTTTGTATTTCTATATCGCAGTTTAAAAATATTTTTGATATTTCATTTAGAAATAAATTTGATGTCTAAAAGCTCGCGAGAAAAGTATAGGTTCACTTTGATGAACAACAACACGGCGTTTGAAACTCTTGTACAGGACAACGGAACAATACAATACACCAAAGAAAATGCTATCTTTAACGAAACACATTTCTCATCTCAAAACATAAGCAGTTTACTGTCAACTCTGGAACTAAATTTATTTGGTGAAATAACTAATACAACCGAGTTTGAAGTTACGTATTTAAATTCTGAACTGCTAAAAGACTTAACGACAAAATCATATTTTGAGCAATCCACAACCAACAACTCGACCAACAGATCGTATGTGTCACATTCGAGATCCGCATACGACTCGAAAGGTGCCGCATATTACATATGCAGTGTTATCATCGTCTACGCACTCGCTATTGTCCTGCTTATTGTTTCTTTAGCCAGGAGAAAGAAAAAAGACCAATACAGACCTGCCAATCAACGCTCTAACAGCGAAGAATATTACATAAAAATTAGGGACTTGGAAAAATCTATTAACGGTGCAAGGTTGGTTCAGTTTTTCAAAATTTTAACTTATTAAATGAAACCGAAAACTCAACATTTTTAATTCAGGCGATTGTCTCATGGTCGATCTTTAACGAATAACCTGAATGAAACAGCAAGCTGCTCGGATACATCAACCAAAGATATGATCAATTTCAAATGTGACTGGTCCCTAAACGAACAAGTAACATACAGCGTTCAGAGTATGAGGCAACAAGACGTATACAAAATGAATCCAACATTTAAAGCAAACAGTTTCAATTCTATAACAAAACATTCTGAATATTTGAAAAGTCCAAAACTATTTTGCCACAATTCTGATTCAAAAGAGGAAATCATAACATTGGTACAAGTGATAGATGACACAAAGCAATCGCCACCCATAACGCCTCCCATCGAATATGCTGGATTGAAGCAAAAACTTAAAATTCATTCAAAAAGTTTGGAAGAAACACATAACTTTCGTCATCAACAAGGAATAAAAAAATGCTCATCAAGCAGAAGTGTAAAAAATAAATGCCGATGGTCAATGGGTCCAGACGGCAATATTTGGATACTTCAACTTGATAATTCAAGCAGTGAATCTGAAAAATCACATAAAGTTGCTCATAACCAATATTCTGACCGTAATGTAGGTCATCAAAACAAATTCACAGAACCGAATAGACAGCTACAAATTTCTAATCTTCTTGATTCCGTTTCCAGCCCAAATAAATTGAGCACAAAAGTTTTACTCGGTCAAGAAGCTAGAAACATTAGCAGTCAACCTGCACAGGAACCATTGTGGCAGTATCGAGATAAATATGTGGAAAAAAGAAAATACCCTCCTAAGCGTGAATTATCAGAAAATATGTTTGAAAAATATGAGACCAGCCCAATGAAACATCACTCTAAAATTCAAAATTACAAGACTTCAACGACACCGCTACAGTTCCGATGCCAATCAAACCAACCTAAGTATTATGATACAAAATATAATGATGACTTGAAATGCTTCACAGCAAACAAAACAACTGTTTCTAATGGTTACTCCAATGGTACGTTGCCATACAGACAAGAGAACGGTCGACACAATTTGAACTTTGCAAACGAGACCAGGCACTTCAAAAACGGAAATAAAGTTTGCCGCAACTCTACTCCACAAAAAACAAATATTCAAAAACTTATCCATGTCACATCTGTATAAATGTCATAACGAACTGAAGCAAAATAAGTGCAGTCTGTCTCGCTTATTTCATTGTTTTATTGGGTGAATTTAAAATCAAGGGTAACGTCTGATAGGAGTGCCGAGTTTTGATTTGAATAAAACATCAATATAATCAAAACAAATAGTTGAAATCGACGTTAAACTACAATGATAATAAAGCCAAAGTTAGTATTTAGTGTTATTAAAAATACTCAAATGTTGAGTATTTAAATACTTTGCAAATAATTTGTCAAAATTCTATGTTTGCCAAAACTAGTATTTAAATACTGTCTACAATTAAAAAATATTTCAAATGTCATGCGGTTTTCATTTGATGCAATTTACACGGTTAATAAAAGAATTTACGTGCTCAGTGAACGTACCATACATTTTTTATTTTATATTCACACGTATAACAGTTGTTCCATGATTGTTTACATAACTAAACTTCACCAAAAATGTATAACTATAAGGAGCAGACCTAGCAGAAATGAGATACTTTCGAGTCATTTAAGCTGTTATTGGGAAGCGTGGTGCATTATTGGCCCACCACTTAGAAACAAATTCTCGAGTAGTTCAGCTTTGTCATCATTCTTCTATTTGGTGACTCAAATTTTTAATGTAGAATTTATAGGCGACCAAAGTGACGAGTCACTATAGCATCAATGTTTCGGGTCCGATCAAACAGTAATGGCGGGATATTTCTTACAAACGTTATTTTAGCTAACCGTTTTTTGCTTTGAAAGAGTTGATTTCAATTGTAAGTAACATTAACTTGAAAAAAAGCTACTGCGAAAAAAAACTTGAAAAAATCGATTGAATCTAACTTTTGATAATCCTACCTTCGCCAGCATTTATACATTTTTCAGTGGATTTAATGTTCCAAACACAAATTTTTTTTATATAACTCCGAATAAAACGCAGTGCACACCAACAGTGCGATATTAGGCCTACCTAATATTTTTCAAACATTTAAATATAGAATAATGAATGATACAATAACTGATTACAAATACAACCCAAACTGATTAAAACGTTTTTTAAATGCAGTTTAACACCTCATAAGCCGGGGTCCTATTAAATTGTAATGCCCAAATTTGGAGATTTTAGGAAGTTGCTGAAAAATGTTTAGTCAAAGAATTTTTGGTTTGATAAGTTTAAAAAGCGAAATGATTGGAGCGAGATGACAGCTGTGGGTGGCCCGATGAAGCGAAACGTGAATCGATTGTGCAGATGAGGTTTGGCTAGTGAGTGCCTGAGATACCGGTAGTTGAATGTTCTGACTATATTTTTACGCAGATGAAGATTGGATTAAGATGAGGCGATGTTCAATGAGTGAATTAGGATATTTTGTTGTTGGAATGGAGTCAATGATACTGGATTTCCATTGAGATAGGATAAAAGCGCGAGGCAGTGGGTGACCTCCACAATGAGATGCGAAAGTAATTTTTCAAGTGTGCCATCACGTTTCGTATAACGTTGGAACATACGGTGTCACCTGATGAATATGACCAAGAAGCGTGTAAACTGATATCAATCAATCAATTTTAAAACTTTTAAGATGATAAAATAAAGAGAAATATCGAAGTAGGTTCGTTCACTGTCCTGGGAGACACCAAATTTAACGCAAATTAACAATTAGGTATTGTTGACACAAACTAATTTTAAAACATAATCTCAGTTTCGAACATGTAGAATTTACATAAAAAATTGCTATAATCAGCAATTGAAGAATCAATATTAAATTTGAACAAATGCATTTTGAGATTTCATTGCAAGCTCTGAAACGGAAATGTCGGTTATATCATGTGCACCATCGTCGCCGGCATCGACTGCGGCATCACTGTTATCGTCTACGTACACATCCACGCTGTTAACCTGAAATTAAAAATTATATTAATCGTCTAAAAAAGTTAATTAGAGTCCTCCCTATTGAAACATTCATCGTGCAACAAACTGCATGCCATATGTTACTTTTTATAATTTTCACTGAAAATCTGTTCAGAATAATGTACCAATAATTGAAATGAATATTTCCTTGAACAAGTTTCACTTGCCATCAGTCAAATCTATTGTTGTAATATTAAATTTACGATATAACTACCGACTCAACAATATAAACGACATTTGATATTGCGGGATAGTTAGCACGTTAGACAGTTGATTCTAATGGTAATTGAGTTCTTTTACTGTTAGTATAAAAATATTTTCTGTTTTCAACTGCCCACCTAATAAGGGAAAGTTGTTTACCTGAATTGAACTAACTGTGAGCACCATAGAAAGACGTTTGTAATATAATTTTCGAGCTTAAAAACATTGGAAAACGTTGTTAGCGACATCATGTGGCCATGTCTTCAATTTTTTGAAAATCAGTGAGTCATTATTTCCCACATAGTAAATCAAACATGGAAAGTTTAATTTGCCAGGCCTGACAAGTCAGTGGAGAGCATTTAATATTACAGATTTAACTAAACAGGACGGTAACCTAATTCTAACATTTATTTTAATTCATTATAATCAAATAACAAATTTTGAACCTTTTCCCCATTTTTTTATAAAAATTAAAAAAAAATACAAATATTGATAAAGTAATGTGAAAATAATTTTAATTTGCATCTTAAAAAGGAAATGTATAAGTTTGGGATTATAAAGGATAGGGTATATAATGATAAAATAAAAAAATAGCTAACGTGAAGGTAGCTACATTTTTCCTCATCAGAAATGACGGGCGACCGTTCGATTATTTCAATATGAACTTTTCCATTGTCCAAGACAACCAAAAGAACTTTTGAGAAAGCATCTTCAACTGCATTTGCATACGCTCTTTTCTTACATTTGTTGAAAGCAACACTTTTTTCTTCGTGAACTTTAAACATAAAATAAAAACAAAAGTAAAAAATATGAGGCATATTCTCTGATATAATTAATCACCATTTGACGCATAGGTGTCACTGGCTGTGCCTTTTCCACAACATTCCTTTCCAACAGGTGTAAATTTTAATTTGACTGTGCACAGAATGTTCAGGTGCGTTACGGCATCATCTTCTTTTTGTGAGTCTGGCACTTCTTCAAACTTAATCAATTATGTATCTTGTTCAAGATTTTGAAAAATTTAAATTTGAGTGAGTTGAACCTTTGAAAGACCCAGAGACCAACCATTGAACCCGAGTAAGTAGTTTGCAAGTTCAAAACACTTTTTATAATAAAATATTTTTGGAAGACTGACATCTTGCTTGTTGGAATGTTTCACCTACACAGCCAAACAATTTGTGATGATAAGGCTTTAATTAGAGGTGCAGCAGTTACACATGGAAATTTTTTTTATCTCGTATTTCCAGACTGCTCAAACATAAAAAAAACATTTTATTCAGTCTCCATCTCCCATGTACCTTTAATAGTTGACCATCAAAATAATTGTTCCTTTGTAAAATTTTTGTTGCGCCTTCTTTAGAGTACAGTTTCAACATTGCATAATAGTTATAGAAATTACCTGGTTAAAAAAATGAAATAATATCTTTTGAAATGTTTTGATTAATGAATGTAGTATCAAAAAATGCCGATTTTTGGAAGTATATTTTTGGAAGACCAGATGTTATTACTAACTTGCATGGTCTCAGTAAGTGCATAAATGATATAAATATACATACATATATACTTTCACATATGTATGATGTACACTAATTTAACGGCTTGGTTATCTATAAAATGCCAATACAGTTTTGTTAGTTTCAGAATTTATTGAAGCAAGTCACATGCACACACATGCACAATGCAGATGTTAAGTTATTAGTTCACTTAGAATTTATAGAATCACAAGATTATTATTTTAAATATAATTTAATTAACCTTCCATGGATGAATAACTTTCTGTTTGATTTACACTGTATGAAGATTTAAAAACTGTAAGATCATATACAAGAACATGCTTACTGAAGTATTCGTATAATCTGTTCTGATAAAATAAAAATAAAACTTAAATCATGACAAGAAAAGATTTTTAAATTTGAAAAATAATTTCAGTTTGTTCAACTACAAAATATTTCTTGAACTCAAAACAAGACATAATAATAGAAATTTTAATTTTATTCTATTTAGAAAGCTTTGTTTGTCTTGCTTGTTTTGGTTCTTTTCCGGTGATGTAGGGACCACAGGTTGAGCAGGTTCGTGAACCAGGGCCCCCGAAAAATGAAAAAAAAAACACAATTCTGCATAAAATTAATACCTAATTATTAATTTAATACCTTTGATGAAACATTAATATAATCTTTGTTATTTATATGGATAACTGTTCTAAATTAAGTTCACTTCAGTTTTAGAAACATTTGCCAATCCACTACAATGTCACAAAAGGATGCACTAAACTGCAAATGTTGACAATAATTTAACAAAAAATAAAAATCTGTTTTAGTTGCATTTTTTTATAATCGAAATGTTTCAAACCAATAATGTCATGTTTATTATCAATGTAAATAACCTTTAAAAATACACACACACATATACACTCACACACGCACACACACATATATTTATATATTCCTTTAATTTTTTTCCAATTGAATATGTACAACATAGGAGCCCACTCTAATTCTTTAAACCAGGGCCCCTCACAGTCTAGCTATGCCACCACGCTTTTCCTTATCTAAATCTGTTCCCAAAAATGCTTTTTTTAATAATTTTTTTTTCTGAATTTAAATAATATGAATAAAATAAAATCCATTTAAGAGCAAAAACCATAATATAATAAGTCTTGAATGCATGAATAGAGTGGGGAAAATAGTGAAAGTCTGAAATGCTATAAAATAACTGCGGTGATAATTTTCATGTTTTTCAATTTATACTTTTATAGGGTTTACAAACAACAAACTTCAACATATTACAATATAATTTATTTATAATATAATAATACTATAGTATATCAGATATACTATATCTATATGACATGTCAATGTCATATAATTATAATATAATACAATACATACATACAAAAGAAATATAACTACGGTAGTTGTAGTAGTAGTAGTAGATAGTAACATTTCACATCATGAAAAAGATTACTGAAATAATTAAATTCAATAATTAAAAAACTTTAATTAAAAATAAATGAAAATATAACTTACGCATATGACATCCTCCGAGTCACTTGATTCACAGCGAATGTCGTCGATGATCAATATTTTATCATTCTCTCTCTTCCAGTAGAAGTCGATGACTTCGATCATTTTTCGAATCGATCAACCAGCGCATGGATACACGACAGATCTTTTATTTACATGACTTGGAGAAACTAAAGATTTTACCGCAAAAAAAAATAACTTGACCTAGATATTAGCATATTAGAGATAGCAATGAAAAAGGAAAAGTGGAAGATTTGCATACATGATATAATATCCATAACATGATCCATGGTTAAAATCCGGCTCTGACTTCGGCAAGACCTCTGACCCCGATACTTGCTTGTCAATATCAATAAAATAGAACCTGAGCCTTTAAAGTAAAAATATAAATATTTAGATATTGTACACATAACTTATATCACTATTAGATTTAACCATGGATATAAAAAGATAGAGATATTATATATATCCGTAGATTTAACGGCAAACGTCGTCAGTAGTTATACATAATCAATCAATCAATCAATCAATCAATCAATCAATCAATCAATCAATCAATCAATCAATCAATCAATCAATCAATCAATCAATCAATCAATCAATCAATCAATCAATCAATCAATCAATCAATCAATCAATCAATCAATCAATCAATCAATCAATCAATCAATCAATCAATCAATCAATCAATCAATCAATCAATCAATCAATCAATCAATCAATCAATCAATCAATCAATCAATCAATCAATCAATCAATCAATCAATCAATCAATCAATCAATCAATCAATCAATCAATCAATCAATCAATCAATCAATCAATCAATCAATCAATCAATCAATCAATCAATCAATCAATCAATCAATCAATCAATCAATCAATCAATCAATCAATCAATAAGCTTATAAAGCGCTATTTCTGCTATGTTTAACTGCGCTCCTAAATGAATTTTGCAAACAGATGAGTCATGAGATCCACTCTGAACTTTGTAAATGATGGAGAAAAAGTAGGTAGTGAGTTCCAGAGAAAAGGGCCAGAAAAAGCGAATGCAGATTTAGCAGAAGAGTGTTTAACACGATATAAGTAGAAGTGAGAACAAGAAGACGATCGTAAACCGGGACTCAATTAATTTAGGTTCAATTAATATATCTGATAAGTACTTAGGAAATAATTTAGATTGAGACTTATACACAAGTGTGCAAATTTTAAAAATTATTCTATATTTTATAGGTAGCTAGTGCAAGAGAACAACATATGGAGAAATATGAAAAAAGAAAGGGGCACGAGCAACTAGACAAGCAAGAGTTAAAAGCTTTATATACATATATGTTAGTTGTATACTACATTACTACTATATATGTCGGTAGTATAATATCAATACTACACGTGCACATATATATTATTGATGCATAAATAATGCAAATATATATTATACGCATAAATAATACAATGATCGACTGGAATGTATATTATTAATGCATATTTTGGGTTTAGACTATTATAAATACAATTATTTATAAAGATCTTAGCGTTTTCGGCATTATTCAACCTGAGAAAAATGAGA